CCAGTCCGCAGCCAGCACAGCCCGAGGCCCTCAGACGCCGAAGGGCGCTGGCCAGGAATTGCAGAGGGGCGTCGGCCCTTCGCCCTCAGCAGCCGGACTCTAAACTTCGGGCCACATATGCCCCCCTCAGCACTGCCCAACAAACACCTTAATCTGTGCAGACTGAGAATAAAGTTGTCTCTGAAGAAGGTTTGGGCTGGAAAATGAAGCATACCCACCAGAAACTTCCAGTAAGGATTATAACATGTTAGAAAATTAAATCCTTCCTCTTTTTTTCTGATGTATCTAAGCATTACATCTGTTTTACACAAAAGACTTTAAAAGTTGGAAAAATAAAGTAGATTTGATTTGGGAAGCTTTTACTTTCCTAATGCTACAAATCTGTACCTGATCAAACATTTCAGGGATCCATAACCCGTGTTTGCTTTAAGACTGCCTTAAGAATCTGCTTCTTTGAGTTACTTGTGAACACCTACAGGGTAGCAACACCTTCCTTATGATCTTTTAACCTCCCAAGCCTCCCACTGGCTTGTTAGTGTTACCTCCACCATCTTTTCCCCTGTACCTTTGTGGTGGAGATGTTTTGCAGACTGTGAAAGGTAGGAGGTCTTTGGCTTACAAGCTTGTAGCTAAAAACCTCTCTGTTCTGCAAGTGCTTTGATATATTTAGTGTGAGCATAAGAGGCAAGACTCCTAAGTACCACAGTGGAAAACTTCTAAAAAGATGTTTTCCTCTTATCATATACAGTTAAATAAAAATTGTACTTCTAAAGCTATTTCTGAAATAGCTGCAGATGTGGAAGGAGAGTTTGTAATAGCTCAGGGCACTGGATGCCTCTTGCTTTCCCTGCACTATTGGCATTGTGGGGATGGTTTATTTCCATTTCCATTGCCATTGGCTGGTTTGAGGAGCCAGTATTACATGAGGTTCAGACAGGTTTGTGGGTTTTTAGAACAACTGATGCTCCTGCCCTGTGTGACCTCCTTGCTTTAGGTGGAGCCTGAGCTGGCCCAGGACAGCAGAGCAGGAGCTGTTGGACAGAACATCAGTGGATGTGTTCATTCTCTCCACTGCTGTTCTGATGGTTTGATGGTAAACTAGTAATAAGCTGTTCTGACAATTTGGCAAGATTTGGAGTGCCAGCACTCGAGGTTTTGTCCTAGTGATGCCTGCTGCTTTCTTTTTTAACTCATTTTATATCGTGGCTGTTCACAGCATTGAGAGCAGTTGTTGGACTCTTGCCTTGCCTTAGGGGAGATCCCAGCCAGCTCCCCTGGGTGTGTCAGGCTCTGGTGTTTGCCCCCTCTTCTGCTGGGCTGAACCTCCTCTAGAGGGTCCAAACCCATTGCTGGGGCTGGGCCTGTGGGTCAGCCCAGCCCTGGGAGCAGTACAGGAATTGAGGGAATTCCTCAATTGAGATGCTGTCAGAACTGTCAGGAAATCTCTGTATGTGCACATTTATATTGTGCAGGACCATTCTTTCCTATCATTTAAAAAGGATTATACTCTTCCAGAAGGAAAACATTCACAGCCTCCTCTGGTTACTGTGTGTGGTTTGTTGGAATATCAGAGCAAAAACAAAGGGAACAGACAGAGGTTTAGTGTGGATTGAAGGAAGACTGGTTGGGGACAGTCTGAAGATGAGGGATTGTGGATGATGGAGAGATGAGGGTGAGGATAATACAGGAAGGAAGCAGAATAACAGTGGGAGAGAGTGTGAAGGAAAGGGAAAACTCTTGGATAAGGAAGGGATGTTCCTGTATCTTGAGGGAGGAGAAGTGACAGGTTGATTCTGTAGCTGAAATCCTGGTTGAGTTCCCCAGAGTATCCAGCCATAAGCAAGACCTAACTTGCCTTTTTAAAAAGTTGAATGCTGTTTTAAAACGAGCTGGTGACTGTATGGATCCAACTGCTTCTCATTACTCATTTGCAGTATTCTGTTTCATCTTAAGACTGTAGCCTCAAGAGATGTGAGCAGGGTGGGAGTATTATGAAACAAAGTGATTTGATTATTTGGGGTGGGGTAGGAGAGTGGCAGCTTTGTTTTAACTTAGCAAATTGTTTAAAAGCACAGACAGATGACAAGGAGACAGCTAATCTGGTTAAGAATAGCCACTGTGGTTTTTGATATTGATTTCTTTCCTCACTCTCTCTTTTAACCTTGTTTTCTTACAACTTCTGAAAAGCCACCTTGAGCTAACCTGAGCAAACAGAGGATATGGATAAAACAGCTTCCTTCCAAGAGGTCATTGAACTGCTCTTTCAACTTTCACTAAATTCCTTATACATTCTTCAATTTATTTTAATTTCCACTGCAATAAAAACTCTTTACGGTACAAATTTTCTGCCTTTTAGCCTAAAATGACCAGCTTTTACATGCTTGTTATGTCATGTGTTTACAATACATTTCATGCTAAAAGATTTATTTTTAGCTGGCTCAGTAAAAGAGCTGCTTGCTGGAGTTGTTGTCATAGCAGCAATCTTAACAGATAGGCTGATCCCATTTAGCTTCTGCGGCCGTTAGGCAACAGTTTGACAGTTCTGCAGCATTTTTCTAAAGATGGAAATTGTGCTGGTGGTGGTGAATTTTTTTTGGCCCAACTTTAAAATATTTCTTCCTGTAGGTGTGTGGAGTTCGATTCAACATTTTCCCCTAACAACTTATGATAACTTTGAATACACAACATGTGAGATTCAGAATTTAAGTCTTAATTTGTAAGAGCATGAAAATAAATTACATGGTGCAACATATTGCAAGCTGCTTTGATGATTTTTTTTTAAAAAGCCAAAAGTATTCTGAGAGAAAAATGCCAGACTAGAGAACAAGATTGTGCATCATTTATTCAGCAGTAATTTTAAGTCGTGGCAGACTGGGCAAATATTACTGAAGAATTTTGTGGGTTGTTTTTGATGAAATGCACTGCCTGGGTTAGATGATATCTTGGGATTTTAGTAATCCCAATTCTTATTTTTTTAGTATGAAGAGAAATGGGTCCTTCTATATTGTCAAGCAAAGAAATAGTATTTTCAGATTAGGCTGTAAAATCAGACATAGCTCTAAATGTTCTTTGTAGCTCTAAGCTGTTACAGAAGTTCAGTTGTCCTCATACATAGGTCTGAATGCAGTTCTGAGATGAAAAGTGAATTTACTGCAAGGAATTCTCCTGTCTGTAACCTTCAGTCAGATGGTATTGAACCTCAATTGCTTTCAGTGTGGTTGAGCAGAAGACTTACTCTGAAAACTCTCTTAAGTCTCTTATTAAACAGAGTAATTAAAACACATTATTGAAGTACTTTAGTTTAATGCTAAGAGATGAGTTCGGATGCTGTTGGCTTAGAGTGCTTCAAATGTGATTAGGAGTCAAAAAGTCAATTTAACCTTCCAGTGACTTTTTTTAGTCCTTAAGATTCACTTGTTGAAATATATTGCTATCATAGACTGTCATATCAGGGGTGTTAATTTATTAATTTCCAATGAATCAGGGCAACTTTCCTTCTGTCCATTCTGGGCAGTTTTGGGGAAACTTTCATTGCTTTCAGCTCCTGGTCCAAAGCCAGTCTCAGAATGGCAGAGACAACTTCTGTAACTCTGGCTGGTATGGGTTTGATACTGTGCTACTGTTCTTTGGACTAATACAGAAAAATCTAATGAGGGAATCTGGCAGAATCTCTCAGCAGAGCAATGAAATATCAAATACCCACACACATTTTAATGTCCAAGTTATATTACAGCTCTTGAGAGCATCAAGGAGGTTGGTGCTGTGAAAAAGCAGAATTCTTGCTGTGGTCCCACCACCCCAACTGCTGCCTCTGCACCCCTCAACCCCTCTGCTGGGCAGCTCCTTTCCCTGGCCTCTGGTGATCATCTGAATAAATCTCTTGGACAAATGGAGGAGTTTCCTGTGTTCTGTCCAG